TTGGCACAAAGGAAATTGGGCCCCAGGCACAAGGGAAACTATTTGGCGAACCGTTCCTCAAGGAACTCAACAAACACGTGAACGTGTTCACCTCCCTCAATAAGGCGCAGTCCTCAATGCGCAGAGTTTTCAGAAGCAACCCTACCAGAGGGGTTTTTGGAAGGGCTGGCCGGCAACGGGGCCGTGCCGCCAGCCGATTTTGGCCTTCAGGCCCCCGCACCCAACCAACACCATTTTACCCGACAAGAGACTACCGGCAGCAACCCTTTTCCAGAGGCTCGGATAGAGGTCGTGGACCTCGTGGACGCGGACGTTCCCGCTTTACCGCAGGTAAGGACCCATATTCCTCCACTGTTACCATGTACCCGCACTGCGGGCCGTATTTCCCTTTCTTTCCAGAATTGGGCCGCCCTATGCTCAGACACATGGATCCTACAAACTGTACAGGGTTATATCATAGACCTAGTGGGGACCCCTTTTCAGGTTCAGCCCCCTCGCCCCATCCACATGTCACCCTCCGACCACAACCTTGTCAACACGGAGCTACGCGAGCTCCGAGACAAAGGGGCTATCCAGCCGGCCCGCGACGGGGGTGGTTACTTCAGCAACATCTTCCTGGTTCGGAAAAAGTCGGGAGAATACCGCCCCGTCATCAATCTACGCGCCCTCAACGCATATGTGGTCTATCGCCACTTCAAGATGGAAGGCATCCACCTCCTGCGAGACCTTCTTCGAAGCAACGACTGGTTCACCAGACTCGATCTAAAGGACGCGTATCTGTCAGTCCCGGTGCACCCGGACTGTCGAGCACTCCTACGTTTCCTCTGGCACGGACGCCCTTGGCAATTCACTTGCCTCCCTTTCGGGCTCAGCTCAGCCCCATGGTGCTTCACCAAGCTCCTAAAACCAGTGGTGGCCCACCTAAGATCAAGGGGCATTCGATGCATCATCTACTTAGACGATCTCCTCATCTTCTGCGCCGACGAACACAGACTACGCCAACACACTCACCTGGCAGTGTCCCTACTGGAGTCTTTGGGGTTTATCGTAAACCAACAGAAATCGGAACTGACCCCTACCCAGACGATACAATTCCTCGGCTTCGAGATCGACTCGACGACATGCACTCTGAGGCTACCAGCCTCAAAGATCACAGCCATTCGCAAGGAGATTCGCAGGGTTCTCCGTCTCGATTCCATTCCACTACGCAATCTGGCCAGGATTGTAGGACTCCTCTCGGCTTCCATTCAGGCCATATTTCCGGGTCCCCTCCACTACAGGGCCATGCAACGTCTCAAGGCGAAATACCTACGCCGCAGGCCTACTTACGACCAACCCGTCCCGGTGACGATGGAGGTTCGCGAGGAATTATCATGGTGGCTGGACAGCATGCAAGCCTGGAACGGCAGGGCCATATTCGGAGACGCCCCAGACTTCGTACTGGAATCAGACGCCAGCCTGTGGGGATGGGGTGCCACCAACGGAACCATCTCCACGGGGGGAACATGGACGGCGCAGGAGCTCTCCATGCACATCAATTGCCTCGAACTCCTGGCAGGATCCTTCGCGATTCGCAGCTTGGCCCGGGAAAGATCCAACTGCTGCATCCTCCTGCGCATGGACAATGTATCCGCAGTCCAGTACATCAACCGCCTGGGAGGCGCTCGCTCTCGCCTGCTGTCGGATATCACGAGAGGCATTTTCGACTATTGCCTCCCTCGCAACATCACGCTACAGGCAGAATACTTGCCAGGAGAAATCAATCTCACAGCCGACTGGTTCTCTCGCCACTGGAGAGACGTCAGCGACTGGAAGCTAAACACGAGAATCTTCAGGGCCCTTGCAGCCCGGAGGGGTCCCTTTCACCTGGATCTGTTTGCCTCTCGCAACAATCACCAGACCCCGGAGTTCTTCAGCTGGCTCCCGGACCCGGAGAGCAAGGCGACAGACGCATTTCTCCAACAATGGCCGTCGACAGGAGCCTACGCCTTTCCCCCATTCTCCATGATTGCGAGAACACTACACCAGATACGGACGCAACAGATCAAACTGGTTGTCATAGCGCCCTTGTGGCAGAGCCAACCATGGTTCCCGGACCTCCTGGCCTCCTCCTACAGGGACCCTCTTCTCCTACCATCCTTCCCGGACCTGCTCACGGATCCCAAAGGGCATCTCCACCCACTACTCCTGGAAGACCGGCTACCCCTGGTGGCTTGGTCTCTTTCCGGGGTTCCTGGCGAGTCAGCGGACTATCGCAGGCTGCTAGGGACCTCTTATGGGACTCATGGGCCCCGGGAACTAGACGCTGTTACCTTTCAGCTTGGGCCTCCTGGTCTACTTGGTGCATGGAACGGGACTCCGATCCCTTTACAGCACCTATTCCCATGATTCTTAATTTTCTCTCCTCCTTGTTTTCATCTGGCCGCTCTTACCGTTCGGTCAACGTCGTGCGCTCCGCGATTTCGGCGGCTCACACCCCCGTCGGGGATCTCCCGGTCGGCAAAGACCCTCTGGTCTGCCGTCTACTCCGCGGTATGCGGCTCCGCCGTCCCCCGGCCCCCAGATACCCTCACCTATGGGATGTGGGACTGGTTCTCCGCTTCTTCAGGGATTGGCTTCCGAATGACCGCCTCTCCCTACGCCAACTATCCGCTAAGTGCGCTTTCCTCCTCTGCCTCGTATCTTTCCGACGGGTTTCGGACGTTCGGGCCTTCGACGTGGACGCTTTCGAAGTGGCCCCTGAAGGGGTCACGTTTCACATTTCCCGTCGCACTAAGTCGGGTTCGACCTCGGTCTTTTACCCATTTTTTCCCGACGACCCGCAGCTTTGTGTCGTGTCCACCCTCCGCAGGTATGTTTCGGTTACCTCCTCGCTCCGGTCCTCTACGTCGGGCCAACTCTTAGTCTCCTACGTGCGCCCTCACGCCCCAGTCTCGGTTACCACCTTGGCCCGATGGATCCGCTGGATCCTTTCCCTCGCAGGTATAGACCCCGCATTCGGCGCCCACTCCGTTCGCGGAGCGGCGGCGTCATCAGCCTTCCTGGCAGGGGCGTCCCTGTCGGATATCCTCCGAACGGCGGACTGGTCTAGGGAATCCACTTTCCGTACATTTTACTTTCGCACTCCCCCTTCTGCTGGGATGTCTCTTCTTCAGCGTTAAAACTGCAAAATAGGAAGCCTCCTGTCATGTTATAAAATTGAAGATTATGCTAGCTTTAGTGTACTAATAATCTTAATTTTAATAAGGACAGGAGGCGAGTATTTTCCCTCCCTTTTGTTCCCTACCCTGACTCCTCGGGGGAGTGGATCTTAAGGTGATGGATTTTGGGATTTGTGTTAGTAGTTACTCTACCTTCTGTATATATTCGGTATCCCTTCCATCTCTATCCCGGTGTTTCCACTTAGACGGACAGTTTAGTTGTACAACATGCTTACACCTAACACACACTTAGCCTATGGCCAGCTTACTGTCTGTCTGTTCTGTTTTACTTACACCATTCTGTTAAAGCCCACAGGCGTGAACAGTTACGGTTCAGTACCTAACCGATTTTATACTCTCCTTTCAGTGTAACCCTCTTCAGGACCTCCACTGGTCGCTGGTTCGTTAACCTCATGACTCCGTAAGATGGGATGACAGCTTCGTTTGGTCTTTCCTCCTATCTCGTTACCAGGAGTCTCCTCAAGTTCCGCTCGCCAGAGATCGCAGTTCCTGTTTCGTTGAGTTTCTGGATGTTTGAGCTCTATCTGGACTTGGATGTCGCTTTAAGAAAGAGGAAGTGTACTGGCAGCATGACCCTTATATATACTATGCTGCTCAGTGATTTATTTGTTACTCTTTACGTTTTTCTTTACTGCTGTGGAGTTTAGTAAAGAGAGTTAATGCAAAATACTCGCCTCCTGTCCTTATTAAAATTAAGATTATTAGTACACTAAAGCTAGCATAATCTTCAATTTCTGTAAGCAAACTTTTAAGCACAACTGTATGCATTCTGAGTTAATTACATTGGCTCATCCTTATTACTATTTTTAACTTTTTTTTTTCTTCTTGAATTTACCAATATAAATTATTTCCCTTCTTTTTTGGGGAGGACCTTCTCCTCATGGGGTGCTTTCGATATATGAGTCACTCAGCTATGTGTATCTACTACCCATGACTTTTCTGGCAAGTAATATGAATGGACTCTAATAGTGGCTATTTTTTTCTACTCTTTAGCCACATGCTTTTCCATTTCCCTCTTGTAATAGTTTTCTCCATTGGGGAGACATTGTCCAAAAACTATAAATTTTGTTGGATTTTTTTTTATTCCAATACTCTATTGTATGATTGTACGTTTATATCCACAGATACTGTTCAATGTATTATAATCGTGATGGCTTATTTACACCCATAGACTAATGTTTGATGGCTATTTTATAATCACAACTGTTGACATCTCTTCTCTCCCAGAATAAATTTGAATCAACCTCCTACTACTAACCCTTAGGATTCTATGATTATCTCTCTATATTAAATAGTACTTAGAATCTTTCCATCTAATTTGTTACCTGTATCTCTGTCCAATTTGAACAGGATTTCATTCGTTTCTGTTTTATTTAAGCTGAATGATTCTAAACATGACACTTTGGTAACATATTAGAGGTTTTTATTTAAGTATAACACTCCGAAAAAATAAACACATTGCAGATTCAAAAAAGTCCAAATAAAACATTTTTAAACCTATATATTTTTTGCAGGTGAGGTTTAGGATTCATACAAAATTAAAGCAAAATTATAAAAATAGCCTCAGGTAGGTTACTATCAATGGATAGTTTGTTTCAGCAAGGTGAAAATAGTAGCAGAATACCTTTTTCTTATCTACAATTTTAGCATTTCTACCGGACGTTTAGGAGAAAACACAATAACCTGCAAAATCTTAACAGTTTTGAATCACTATGCAAGCAGATGGAATGTATATTGCATTCACTATCTAAAATATACCTTTTTTTTGCCTTTTTCTTTGTGCAATTGCCCTCTTCACTCTCTGCCATCTTCCCTCATTTTTAAGGGAGGGGCTGGCATGAGTAGAAATGGCAAAGCATAGGTAATGAAGGGGTGAAAAATAAAATGCTTTTGGCTTAGATGAAATCAACCATTTAGTAGTTACTTGGGTTGTCTCTTTTTTCATATCAAATTATGTATTATTGAATGTGTTTTTCGTTTGTTAAAAATGTATATTATATGGTGACCAATTATCAAAAAAAAGAAGAATAAAAAGGATTTGGATTTATACCTACTTAAATCGCTTTTTATCCAAATATGTTAGGGAAATGCTGTGAAGGTGAGTTTTGATCACAATTATAATCAGAATCAGTGGATGCCTCATGTTTAAGCCCATCTATCATTTTACTGAGTTCTTTCAAATAGGAAGCCACCTTGGCTCTATGTTCTTCCATTTGTTTTAGAGAGCTTGAAAGAAAATAATTTTTTTCCTTTTCAAAATTATTTTTAAACCAGATGTACTTCTCCAATGCAGTTTCAACGTTTGTCTGAGGACGGGGTACAGTTGGTACAGTAGATATACTTCCAGCGGATCTTCTTAACATCTCTGGTCCATTCGTAGATACAGAAGGTATACTTCCAGTGGATCTTCTTAACAACTCTGGTCCATTCATAGGTATAGTAGGTATACTTACAGTGGATCTTCTTAACATCTCTGGTCCATTCGTAGATACAGAAGGTATACTTCCAGTGGATCTTCTTAACAACTCTGGTTTACGCGTTTGTTTATGAGATATAGTAGATGGATTGCCTTTAAAAAAAAAAAATACATAATTTAGCGGATTATTATATATGGAATAATGCATACCACAAAATAAAAAAAATATGTTCAAATCCTAAACTTAATCCTAGTCTACAAGGTCTGCACGTCGATGAATTTAAGATTACAGTTCATAAAATTCGCTACGTGGTTTTCAATGAGAGTCTAATATTTCCACCCCCCCAAAAAAAGGATTTATTAAAAAGGCCTCAATTTAATATTGTTGGATAAGCTTTTACAGTTATTTTTTCTAAATGCTAAAATAAAACATATATCATAAGAAAAAAATATCAATGTTTCAAAATTAAAATAGGTTTCATAATATTACATAATTTTAAAAGTTTATCCAAAAATATTAAATCATTTTGAGAGCTTATCCTCCAATATTACAGGACCACTCCACACACATTTAGCACTTCAGCGAGGAATATCGAGGAATATCCCATATTAATGAAGTATAAATAAAGTTATAAAAACTTACCAATTTCTATTAGAAATCAGCACTTTTATAAACAATTAATGAAATACCCCTCTGGCTGTCAATTAAAAAGCCAGGCAGAGTACTTACTGCTTCTTTTAGCTCCCTTTAGCTAACAGATGTGTCAGGCACGCTCTATTTGAATGCGTCTACCTCCCGCCCGCCTATGAGAAGCCTCTGACTGGCTATTTCCCTGTAAAGAGACTGAAAATTTCTTCCAGGGAAAAAGGGAAAGGCTTGCAAAGGCTGCAGTCATTAATATGGAATAATTCATTGTATACACCTCCAACAAATACATACATTAGGAGTGTATCACTGTAAACAGTGATTTCTATTTTTTTTTCCTAATATGGGTCGTGCAGTGTTTCTTTAAATCTAGGACTTAGTTTGAAAGCACATTAGACACAAGACCAGTATTAGTTATTGTGAGAATATTTAATCTCTTACTCACACCTTTCTGCAAAGTTTATTTTAAAAAGTTTTACACTCTCACTTGGGACGTCTTTTTATTATTTAGGGTGTTCGGGCACACATATTTTCTTTTGTTTCAATGAGAAGTAATTATTAGAGAAGAGAATTTGAATTTTAGTTATGTTTCCACTTCCAAACTTTGATAGATTCCTTCTAACTTATTAAGCCCTTTTCTTCGGTAGGTAAAGGAACATGTTATATAATGGTAACCTTACCATAAGAGGTTAAACCAATCACAAAAGGTCCCTCCCCATTCATAAAAGCAGTTTGAGATAAATATATATGTTTTTCAGATCGTTCTGTGAATAGGGAGCTACCGATTGGCTTAGAGTGTCAGCTAATGCTCTCAGACATTCAGGAGCTCTCTTGTCTGCAGCAGTCCAATGCTTCCTGTTTAAATAATCTGCAGGCAGCTGAAGGACAGGGCAGAGCTAAGCGATGCTTGAAAGTAGAATTTGGTGTTAAACTGTTTGTGGCACCATTCAAAGTTAATTGTGATGAAGTTGTTATGGTACTTGGAGTGTTACTTTAATTTTTTTAGTCTACTCCTTTTTTGGGGGGAAGTTGGTTAATTCTGTCTCCAAGCAATCTATTTCTCTATTTTATTCTAATAGTTCTGATCTTTAAGTTCTTCGAAGGTGAATTATTACAATGTTGTCCACAGAGATAAGATATATATATATTATTAAATAAATCCCAAGAAGGAGCGCTATGCACATATGTAAAACCCACTTTGATGTAAAATACCCTATGGAGAACTGTCTATTAATGCCTATATATATAGTGATAGAGGAAGATAAACTGCTATATATGTTATATATTGGACTCACCTATTTTCAAAACAATCTTTTCCCAAGTTATTTTGTTTCCATTGTTTTTATTGTTAACAAACTGAAATACTTCTGACTGAAGATGATTCAGAGGTAATTTTTGATTTAAGCTTTTTTCAATGCTTCTTATAAAATCATTCCATCGCTTTTTGCAGGCAGTAGTAGTACGAACATAGGTACCTCGTTTATTTACTTTTCTTGTTATATTTTCCCAAATAATTTTTTTCTCTTGTAAGCTGCATGCGTTACGCATATATATTTTTTTCCAGTTGGCCATGATTTGACGGACAAGAATTTCATTCTCTCCTTCATTAAACTTCCCATTCCGCTTCTTGGTGTTGAAAAAATGTATGGCTGCCATTATCCAGGTTGTCTGGACTTCAGTGTTATATTTCTACCCTGCAATGGCAAAATAATAAAGTCACCAGGTTTCATTGAACCCTCTCCATCTACACTATTACTGTTATGTAGTAGCACTGGACATACCTATCCACACAAAATGCAGAATAATTGGTCAAAGTCACAAACTTAATTTGTTACTGGGTGAAGCCAGCCAGGCCCGGACTGGCCATCGGGCACACCGGGCAAATGCCCGGTGGGACGCGATGTCCATGGGCCAAGGCCGGCAGGGGAGGTCCCAGGATCGCGCCGGCCCCGCTGTTTTCCATGGAGGGCCGGTGGGGAGATCAAAGATCTCCCTCACCGGCCCACATGCTGTCAGATCTGGCCGCCGGCGGGGAGGGAGGGAGACAGACAGCCGCCAGGAGAGAGGACCCGGCGGAGCTCTAACTTGCACCCATCACACACAGCACTCTCACACCCATCACACACAGCACTCTCGCACCCATCACACACAGCACTCTCACACACACAACACTCTCACACATCACACACATCACTCTCACACACATCACACACAGCACTCACTCACAGCACTCTCTCACAGCACTCACACCACTCTCACACCCATCACACACAGCACTCTCTCACACCCATTACACACAGCACTCTCTCACACATCACACACAGCACTCTCACCCATCACTCTCTCACCCATCACTCTCACACCCATCACTCTCACACCCATCACACACGGCACTCTCGCACACACGGCACTCTCACACACACATACTGCACCCCTCACATACACACAGATCCCCCCCCAGCACACTGCACCACACACATACACAATACTTATATATATATATATATATATATAAACACACATATATACATACACACACACACACTACACTCTTAACATACACACTCTGGATCCCCTATACACACACTAGATTCCTTGTAAGCAAACACATACTACACCTCTAAACACACACATCATCACCTATATACACACACACACACTATAGCCTGTATGCACACACTTGCTATATCCCCAATACACACATTCTCTACAGCCCATAGCCACATATGCATCACATTACACCACTTTACACCACAAACACAACATGACTAAAACCAACCTTATTACACAATACCACACCACAATCAGCTCACTCTACACACACGCAATACCACAAGCAGGCTCCAAACACATGCACAATACTCTTTCCTGGCATTTTTGTCTCCTGGTATCCATTTATAGAGACACCAGAGACAAGTTGCAAGGAAACACAGTGCAAGCATGTTTTAAATTTGCTTGCACTGTGCAGAACAAATACAGGACTTTTTTCTCATGCTAGAGCTCTTCAGCAGAGCTCTGCGCATGGTCTGCCCTGGAAGAGCATTGAACCAACATGCTCACTTTGAGAGGGGGCGTGTTTGTCATTGGTGATGACAAAACACACTTCCTCTGCCCCGCCCCCTTCTTAGTGGGCCGCTGTGTTAAAAAAATGCCCGGGCTGAATTTTTCTCCCAGTCCGGCCCTGAAGCCAGCTCTGAAACACATACCATTATATGTGCTGTTTTCTTTTTACATAGTGATACTTAGAATTAGTGAACACACTTATACTCAGGCTTGTCGGGAATGTGTTTAAGAAAGACTATAGCGTTAGGAATACAAAACTGTATTCCCTAGCCAGTAAGCCCGCGCACAGATTACACAACACGAAGCACAAAGTTGAATAATATACTAGATTGCCTACTTACAACCAGATGAGGATGATGATAGGCTCTAGCTGCAGTCTGGCTCCACTGGTCTGGTGCAGAACAGGCTCTCTGGAGGCGGTTTGTAACTGTGGTCACAAAAATCAATGTTCTGGGAGAACGGGAAGCAGCTCCATTTTTTTGAGGGCCCTTTACACAGCTCAAGGTCTGGGTCCCAGGGTCCACCTTCATGTTCCACCAATGA